CACAGAGCAACACTGGAGAGCTGAAGCGTGGACACAGAGTCCCAGGCCCTTCCCATATGGAGCAATTCACTGTGCTGGCCAAAATCATCCCAGAGCTGCGCTGATGCCCTGTGTATGGCCAGCAGCTCCCAGCCCCATCCCTCATACAGTTCCCAAGGCTGCAGGGTCCCTGCAACAAGCACAGCACCCAAACAGCACAGACAACATGGAAAATCATCCCTCAATCCACCCGTGGAGCCCAGGACACCAACCTGCCAAGCAGCCGCAGCTTGCGAGGGCCATACTTGTCCATGACAATCCCCAGGGGCAGCGTGATCGCACTGAGGAGGAAGGACCCAATGGTGAAGGCCAAGTTCAGCATTTCATCCTGGGCATTGCAGGAAGGCCATTTGTGCTCCAAAGCTGTGCTGTTCTCATGTTCAGGGCTGCTGGTGGCATTTTCTACACAGGATGACAGAGGATCATCATTGCTGTGTGGTAGGATGGGGCTTGAAATGTTGCAGGAAGGAGGGAAGAGAAAAGCCCCGCACACAGGGTGACACAGCACACTGGGCATCCACTCTGCACACTCCATTTTTTATTATAATCAGTGAGAAATGGAGGAAGGAAAGAAGAGCAGCAGAAGGACAAGGGAAACCTGCTGAGCTCAGCTGGGAGGAGGAAGAGGGTGCACAGGCACCCAGGAGACCAGTATCCCAAGCAGCAGCAAGGTAACAACCTAAACACAGAGCTAAGGACAGAAATTCATTACTTTATAAAAACAACTAAGCAACAAGGCCCAGGCAATTGTAATTGGGACTAAACCAAGCAGAACCTGAAGGGACTAATACAAAAATAAGGTCCTCCTAATCCACAACTGGCATGTTCTCACAGATCTTTTCCCTAACTAAACTGGAAGCAGTAACTGCAGGCAAATCAGTTATTTTGGGTCCAGAGCAGGCTGACGAGGCCTGGCACAGAGCGACAGCTGGCTTAAACAACAAGCTCCCTACCCTCACCACAGGCATTGGGATGAGGGATGGCTTAGCAGCAGCAACCCTGCTTCCTGGCTGCCCTGGCTCTGCAAAATCCTTCCTGGATTTAACTGCCCTGTTCCCAGGAGGGCTGGCAGCTCACCTGCCTTCTCTATTTGTTAAGGGATTGATGCATCTTCAACTTCTGCCCCATAATTAGCATTTTCTGTTCTTTCCAAGTGGGTTTAAGCCATCCAGATCAATTTTATCTCCAGCTTTCTGGTCTTGCCCTTACATGAGGAACTCTGCATGCAAACTCCCACGCTGAACAGAGCCCACGTTGTGTAACAGAGACACAAACAGGACAGGTTTTTTTTTTTTTAAAAAAAAAAAAACAACCCAAAGAAACAAGGAAAGAAGTTCCTTTTTCTTTGGAGGAGCAGTTTTACTGCCTCATGGCAACTCTGCTCCTGTTACAAACCTACCCCAAGGTGGCTTACAACTCCTCAAGCAAGCACATGTGCCTTTAGACTTTCATTAACCCCGAGCTCTAGTGCACTCCACCTCTCTGCTCCCAGTGCTTATCTGACTTACAAGTAACCTTTGCTGGTATGACAAAGCACTTGCTTTCTTACTGCTGCTGCAAGCCAGTGACACAAAATGCTCTCCTCCATATTTAATATTTGCTCTGACAAAGTTCAATATTAAAGGAGGAATAGAGAGAGAAGTCACCTACATAACCACACGAAGCAAGACTAGAGGTTCCCAGTGAGCCCTGGTTAGTTAGCTAATTAGCAGGAATCCCTCACATACAAGTGACTTCACATTCACTGCTTGGTGTGGCTCATGGAGGAGATCCCCTTGGCTGCTTTTGCCCTCCCTGTGTCTCTGAAGATCACACAGCCCCATATTGCAACTTCTTCCCTTCTATGCAAGCCTCAGCACCATTATAGTTACTGGTTTCATGCTGATTCTTCTAGCTGGCCAAAACAACCCTCCCAGCTTTGTGTCCACTGCAAACAAATCACGCTCCAGACATCAGGTATTAGCAGGAAGGAATTCAGATGCTGATAGCTGAGGCTTAGGAGCTGTCTGCAAACTTTCCTCTGCCCCTTCCAACACACCAGGGAAGGTGCACAGCATTTCTCTGTTTACACTGGTCTCACCAACACCTTTACTAAGGTGGTCTGAAACCACCTGTGGTCAGTGATGACTCTGTTGCTTCCCTTTGCCATGTGCTCCTGGTTGATAACCTGATCTGTTCCTTCTCTCACCCTGCAAGTCATGAATAGCCAGAGTAAGCAAGAGACATCCCCAAAATGCCACGTGTCCCATCAGCATCCCTTCTGCAGGGAGGACAGCACTCCAGCCCGAGGCTCCCAAGTCACATCCTTAGAAATCAGTCCTGGACAGACTTGGGATGTGCTCTGCATCTCAATCTTTTTCATCCAACTTTCCCTCCCAATCTCCTCTCACTGTGTCCCAGGATCTTAAACACCGACTTCTGACAGTATCTTCACGAGGCAGGCACACAGCTTCACCCAAAGCATCAAGGTTTTTTGGTCTCTCCACAGAGATAAGTTCATAGGAAACAGATGTGGGTGAGAGGTTAAATCAGGAAAACAAGGCAGGGGGGGAAAAGGAGTGACAAAGTAGTAGTGGTTTCCCTGTGTCAGCACTCTACAGAGATAGCTCAGCTGTGGAGTGGAAGAAGGGTGGAGGGACATGGATAGTGCAGTGACCTTATAACTTCTGGCTGCACACACTAAAGAGCCTGTCAGCTCCCCACAAAGGGATCTCAAAACAGAAATATTCATCATTTAAAGCTGAGTAGATGAATTACTGTTAATGTATTGACGTGTACAGTTGCAACATGACCCCAAGGAGCTCCCACAGCATCCGCCTGCTAGCGGACCCTCTGATGGCAAGCAGGATGGGCAGCAACACTGGGAGGCAAAGAGGACACAGCTCATAAAAAACAAAACAAGGAAACTTGGCCCTCTCTGAAGCCTGTCTGCAGCCAGGACGGCTGGGAACAGGGCACCAAACGTCAGTCTCTGCTTGTACCAAGCACCTTGTTTACAGCTGCTCATGGCCCCCTCCAAGGAGGGGCCATGCCACAGCACTATGTGGAAATACAAATTGTTTGTGAAAATAGAAGCAGCCCCTGAGCAACAAGAGAAGATCCACTGAGGCGTAATGGAAATTATTCCAGCAGCCCTTGGCACCCTGACATCCTCTGATCCTCTTCGAGCCACCTCCATAAATAGAACATTTTGGAGGGGCTGCAAGTGTGCGCACCATGCGCAGGGTCCAGCCGAGAGCCATCTCATTCATGTGCCAGCAGGTCACCAGCATCTGAGAGCAAGTGGCAGCATATGACATGCAGCCAGGAGGAGATTAATGGGCAGAGAATCTGCCTAGCTACTCACCTACCTGAGTAGGTGACTAATGCACCTGCTTACAGCAAACAGCAGTTACCCCTCAACCCCAGCTCAGATCCTGTTCCAGATCATTGCATGCCACACTGCTAGGGGAAGCCTCCTACATGCCCGGCTCCATCTGCAACAGTGCTTTGGGGAAGGGCTGTCTCTTGTGCTGACAGCTGTGCCCTTCCCAAATTCTCCTGCCAAGTCCACCTGCACGCCAGGTCTGACATGCAAGAGTGCCAGCCACGTAAGCCAGCAGCACAGGCTGCTCAGGCCATGTGCACTCACCGTCAAGCTACAAGAAGCTGCAAATCTTCACCAGCAATTACAAGAACATACTGCCTATTTTTACAGCATTCCCTCTACAAGCAGCAGGATTTCTACTGCCCAATTAGTAGTTTAAGTTACTATTTAAAGAATGACAGCTTAGGTGAGAGGAAGGCAGCCTCAGTAATCATTTATGTCAAGCTCATCGCTGGGATTTGTTCAGGCTGTTACTGGAACATTTAAAGTCATCCTTTCTCCCAAATTAAGTGCTGTAGGTTTCATGAGAGGGTCAATCATTAACTACTCTTTGCTGACCTCTTCAAATCCCAGGCACACACCACATTACCAGAGGAACAAGTCTGGCTTTTTCAAGATTGACTGCCACCTCAGACAGCAGGGAGGTTTCCTTTCATCTTGTTTCATGGATCAGACTGAGCCAATCAGGCAAGACACCCCCAGCCACCCTGGCAATAGCTCTGTGGGACACAGCCTGACCTTACTCTTTTTTTTTTTCCTCTCCCAAAAAGGAAAAAAAAAAAAAAAAAAAAGAAAAATCAGGGCCAAAGAGTCTGGGAGCATTGAGTAAAAAAAAAAAAAAAATCACAGTGAAAGACATGTGCAAACAACTGATCTGCAGCCTGCCCACATAAGAACATGTTTTCTCTTTTCAGGATGGTGTCATACTTCTGGGAACTGGGAGGAGATGTTCTTGCTTTAAACCACTGCAAATGCAATTTATTCGGGTTTCCCTCGCTGCCTGTCCATCCACTTGCACTTCCAGGACCCCCTTCTCTGGGCATCCAGCCAAAAGCCTCCTATAAGTGAGGCACAGCCTTCCACTTTTCCAGATCTCCCATTCTCTCTCCAGCTGCAGTTTTATTTTTCAGCAATTCTCACCCAGGGCCAGCACCTTCCCATGCAGCTCTCCAACACCAGGACAGCTGCTAATCAACACAGCGTGTTTCCTGTAGAAATCGAACATTTACCACATTTATACTCTTCCTGTTTACAGGGTTGCATGAGCAGCCTTTCCACAAGCCATTGTCACATCTTACCAGCTTGGAAGGGACCTTCAGATTGCAAGTTCCCCACCACAGACTCCTAATAAATAAGAGCCAAGAGCTGCAAGGCAGCACCTTCCTCCTATGAGCATGGTAAGGTGCGTTAACCTGCCATAAATTCGCTTATCATCCCTCTGGTTTTCTGCAACCCTGTCTTAGAGGAAAGCCCTCTGTCCAACTGGCTCCTTATCTCTGCTCTTTGTGAACAGATTATCAAGTTCAAGATTATTATTTTTTTTTAAATGTCTCAGACTCAAGCCTTGAGCTTCTCAATCCCAGTAGCACCGTAAGACCCTGAAGAGATCAAGTTCCCCAACAGTTGATAAGGCCCAAATCCTGATAAAGACTGCAGAATCAGCACTTGCACCGAATAAAAGATGCTGCTTCAGTTGGTTAAAGGCCAAGTAGTAGTGTAGTAAAATTAAAATGGGAACAAAGTGCCACCACCAGACTCCTTGTCAGCAAATTTCAAACATACCTCTCAGGATGTGGGCAAACCTGCAGCCCAGAACGGGTACAACCCCCCCACTCAAATCTGTTGCACAATTTATTTAAGAATATTTGTTTTTCTGATGTGGATTTTTTTCTAGGTGTCCATCTCCACCCTCACACAACCAAGTTAAAGTCCAGCAGATCCCACATGTTTGCATGGTTGCTGAGTAAAATCCAATCGGAGAAGCCAAGGGCAGGCAGGGAAAGGAGAGGATCCAAGAGGAAGACAAGGAGCCCATGGTGACCTGCAGTCACATTCTGAGCAGCTGCTGCTACCTTCAGGGATAAGCTTACAGAAGGGACAAGGTCTAGTTTTCTCTTTCGTTGGAAGGCATCACAAAGTGCAAGAGCTTTTGCTGACAAACAAGAAGTCCGGCCAAGAACCTTTGGCTTATTAGGAAAATAATTTTTTTTTTTTTTTTTTTTTTTTTGCAATACTTACACACACTCAGCAGCATTAGGAACAACAAGTGCCCAAAGGCTACCAGTCATAATTTGTTTGTACCAATCTTCCAGCCAAGTGCCCACTCAGGCTGCAGGATTCAATAGGTTACATTGAGAAAGGCAACCACTGGGCCATCCTAATCCCAGCAAAGGTCAAAATAAATCAGCTCAGTACTGGTCATTCAATGAGCACTGCAGGGCAGCTGCAAGGGAATCTGCTCTCCCCACACTTTGAGCTAGGAGTCTTCCCCATCAAATCACTGAGATGATTACAATGAGGACTAAAGCAGAGAAAGGAACGTGAGTAAGCATGGATGAATGCAGAAACTGGCACAACTGGTCCTTGACGCTCATCACAAGCCAACACTGAGTTCAGCAGCGATGACCAGATATTTGAGGACAATGAGAACATTTGACTCCATAAATTTCTTCTCAGGGATTAAGCTCTCCTGCCTCAGGGCACAGGTTGGTCACTGGGAGGGAGAAATTGCCTCCAGGACAGCAATTTCACCACAGGGCAAACATTTGCATCTTCCCTGTGGTCTGTGGTGCAGGGGAGAGCCAGACAGACCACAGATTGGCAAACAGGGGTGAGAAGTCAAGGTGAATCTCATCAATTTGGGGCAAAGGTGGGTGAACTGAAAGCAATCAAAGCAAAGAATAGGAGGTGGGCCCCAAGTGAAGCAGGGCTCTTGTCAGTAGGCCACATCTCAGGAAGCAGATAGGAGAACAGCTGCTTTTGGAGACAGTCAGCAGTTACTTATCAACTCTCATGTGTTTTATCTCAGTGGCAGAAAGCTTCCACTTGATAAGTTTAATGAGAACCTTTATACAGGCCTCTGACAAAGTCACACCATGGTTTGTGGAGAACAGAAGAGCCCTGAACAGAAATCCTAAACCATCTCCAGCAGCTGAGGACTCTCCCTCACACAGTCTGGAGCACCACTGGAGACCCAAGTGACATGGACACGCTTGGAAGCATCGCGCTACGAGCGGAGGATAGGAAGGAAATTAAGCAGCCAAGCAAGAGCTGTTAGAAGACTCAAACACGTGCACATTTGCCAGGTGCACCAAGCCAGGCTCTACAAGACTGAGGCAGCTACCCACAGACACACAAAGCAGAAGATCACAACAAGCAGCTGATAAATGAGGAAAAAACAAAGTATCATCACAACTATTCAGAGTCACTTTTTGCTTAGACTTTGTTTCCCCACACTTCAGATTTCCCCCGCTGTTCTCAGCCATTACCCACTGAGAGCTCTGGGGTCCACGCTCTTATTTCCTCCTCTTTCTTGCCCTATTGTACCCTGTTCATCTCCCCAGTCCTGAATGGGCCAATTCACCTCATCTCATCCACCATCACACATCTCTGGATGGAGCCTAAACACCCAGCTCCTGCCTCTCTTCACTCTGCTATTCTCTTCTCTGAGCAGATGCAAATGCTCTGTCACTAAATCAGCATTCCAAATCCATAACACACCTTTACCCTCAGGTTCCTTTTAACTCCGCTGTCCACCCAACTGCACTGTGGGATTCCTCAGACCACTAATTCTCTCCATGCCCAGGCTAGAGATATATGTCCACCTACATGTTGGTTTTCCCAGGGTTATCCTTCCCACACCACAAGATTGCTTCCTTCCCTGCAAGGTTGTGTCTGCACCATGGACAATCGTTTCCTCTGGCTGAGCCAGAAGGTGGATCTCCAGCCCCAACAGGGACACAGCCTGATTTGAGCACATCCCAGCTGTTTGAAGAGGGAAAGGAGCAAAACACCAGTAGTATTTACTCATGCAACTTCTCAACAGCAGTGCTGGACTGCCCCAGTCTCATTTTCACCCGCACTCTTTTCTTTCCTACCACTAAGG